AAATTTGTTTTTTTATGTGTCAGGCAAACATAAAAAAATGGATTTGTACTGAGTACGCTTAAAATCAGGTATAGAGATTTGGATGGGTTCATGGAGATTTTATAATCATTTGATACAATAAATAAATTAGTTACATGTATTTTTAATATTTTTATTGGCAAAATATATTATAATGTAACAGGTTAACAAAAGAAAATGGAAGAGTAAAATAATATACAATCAATAGATTCACATTTAAAACAGGAGTACAAAGATTTTATATCCACAAAATACTATAAATAAATTAATTCCAAGTATTTTTATTGAATTAACTCTATTCCTTCTTCAGTATGACACGATATTTAGCTCGACTTTTACTTATAATCATCTCAGGAGATGTAACAATTATTAAATGGAGTCTGTTGTTCCTTTCTATAATTTCCTTCGCTAAAATCAATTATTATTATTATAGGTTACCAATTCCTTCTGACTTGATTCAGATTAAGACCTAAAACAATCAAAAATTTGAAAATTAACCCTTAAAGATTGATAGATTTAAAGTATAGAAATTTGATCAATACTTAAATCAATAATTAATAAATAATTTTATTAAATTACTCCAACTCTTGTTTTTTACATTCCAATTATGGCATTCTGGTATGCCCCTTCTATCTGTCGTAATCCTCTTCCTTCATATTTCCTGCTGACGTACAATCTATCCACATCAGCTTTTGGATATAACGCACCATTCATAGTTAATATTTTCCTTGTTCTTCGGTCCAGGTGCGTGATTTCTTCTTTTGTCCAGTCGACGAGGCAAAAACTGTATTCTGTTACTGGAACTGCTAATGTGCCGATGGCGTTTAACTTATTTCTTCCATTTTGTTCCAATCTTTTAAAATATTCTTTCTTTAATCGCGGTTTAATTTCTTTGTTGGCTACCCCAAATTTTTCTTCAATCCCCAGATATTTGTATGTTGATCCAGGGTCCAATTCTTTAATAAATTCTTCTTCAGAGTCCTCTATATTTTCCTTCCGTTTTAACTTTCCTCTGACAATATTAACTCTGGCACATTTTTCCAAACCAAATTTCATATTGATGTCAGATGAAAAAGTTTGTACCGTCCTTAACATTTTCTTCAATTATTCTTCACTCTTCGCATATAGCTTCAGGTCATCCATGTACAGCATATGGGTGATTTTCCTGCCTCCTCCCGGTACCAACTCGTATCCTTGATCCTTGATATTAAGCTGTCTGGACAGAGGAATTAAAGACATGCAAAATAAAAGTGGCGACAGTGAATCTTCCTGAAAAATTCATCTTTTTATAAATATTTTCCTAGAAGAGTTCATTATTATTATCATTATTATTATTATTACCATGACGTAATTCGTATCCACGTGTGAATAATTTTTTTTTTTTTGAAAATGTAATGAAAAAGAAATTTTTTTTTTTTTTTATAAAAATTAAATAATTATACTTTTATATTTAAATAATAACATTAATAGACAGAGAAAAAAAATTATCATTATTATCATTATCATTATTATTAATAATTAATTAATTAATTAATTATCGCTATAGTACAAATAATTATTTGGTTTTTATTTGTTATAATTAATTATTTTATTTGATCACATTTTAGAAAAAAAAAAAAAACAAAAAGAAAATTTGAAAAAAAATTTTTTTACACGAAAATGATAATAATAATAATAATAATAATAATCATAATAATAGTAGTAGTAGTAATAATAATAATAATACAGTAGTAATAAAAAAAAAAAAAAACTTATGAATTTT